CTGAAGGACGGCTGGCTCAAGAAGCAGCGCTCCATCGTCAAGAACTGGCAGCAGCGGTACTTCGTGCTCAAGGGACAGCAGCTTTACTACTACAAGGATGAGGATGATGTCAAGCCACAGGTAGGAAGAGGATGCTGGGCTTTGCCCGTCCTCAGTCTCTCTCTTCTTGCAGTTTTGCTCGTGGGAAAATGGTTTGGGATGGGGCTGGAGTAGGGTATTAAAGGACTTTTCTGCCTCTGGACAGTACCAGAGATTAGATACCCTGATCAGGAGCTTCATGTATGCACCTTCTTTACTGCAAGGGTGCTGAGGCGCTGGCACAGGGTGCCCAGAGAAGTTGTAATTGCTCCATCCCTGGCAGTGTTCAAGGCCAGGTTGGACAGAGCCTCGGGTGACATGAGCGTTGGGCGACAGGTTTTGGTGGGGGGTGCCCCTGCCTGTGGCAGGGGGTTGGAACTGGATGATCGTAAGGTCTTTTCCAACCCAAACCATTCTATGAGTCTATATCTACTTAAATTCTTCAAGTGCCTGCAGGCAGTCAGTAGATCCTCGGGGTGAAAGCACATCGCTGAGTGTGGCACCCTCACAGGGAACAACTGCCTTATCTTCAACCTGAACTTCCCCTATTTCCATTTGAACCCGTCACCCCTTGTCCTGTCACTCCAGTCCCTGATGAAGGTCCCTCTCCAGCATCCTCGTAGCCCCCTTCAGACACTGGAAGCTGCTCTGAGGTCTCCAGCAGCTTCTCTTCTCCAGGCTGAACAGCCCCAATGTTCTCAGCCTGTCTCCATACAGGAGCTGCTCCAACCTCTGAGTATCCTTGTGGCCTCCTCTGGACTCACTCCAGCAGCTCATTTCAAGCCTCTCTGATCCCATCGATGATTCTGATTCATCCAGCTGCAACTCAGGCTTTTGGAGCACTGAAAGTCCTCCCGCAGGAGCCCAGTGGCTTTCAAGAGGCTGAAACTTCATGTCTGTGGCAGAGCCCTATTTCCTCTGGTGCTGAGTCACCCCCACTCAGTCCTCATGTGCCTCGGCCACTCCCATCCATCCCCTCAGCCAGGACCGAGCTGCCCATGCTCAATGAGATGGTTGGGGAAAGGAAGGTCCAAAAGCAATGTCTCTTTTCCATTTTGCTTTTTTATTTCCCCTTCCTTTTCTTCTTTTTCTCTACTCCTCTGCTGCAAACTTTGGGTTTAGTTTGGGGGTTTAAGTGATGCTGTGTTAAAGGAACAGTTTTCCTGCTCTGGTGTTTTGTTAAGTGCCTTCTCCTTTGTCCTATCTTCTTCCACTCCCAACAGGGGTTAAAAAACACATGAGAAGGGAGGAAAAAACAGGAAAAGAGCAAAACAACCATTCTGAGAATGACTTCATCAGAAAAACTGGCATTTAAGAAGCGTCCCTTGATGTTTGAGGAGTAATTCTTAGCAGATACATAAAGCTCACCTGCTCCTGCAACCTGCTTGAAAGAAGGACTTCGATCCTCAATGCTTACACATAGTAGTATCAGACACAGGACACATTTGCAACTCCTGCTCTGCTTTGTCCTAGGGCTGCCTGTCTCTCCAGGGAAGCACCATCAAGGAGGTGGCCAGCAACCCAGAGGAAGGAGGGAAATTCATCTTTGAAATCATCCCCGGTAAGGATGCTTCCCTCCTCTTCCCTCCTCTTTGCTGCACGCTTTTGGGTCCCCCCAGAATCATTTGGGCCACTCCTTTTGCTCCCACCTCTTTCCAAGGTCTCACAGTGTTGAGCTGCACATGAAAATTAACATCTTGCTTTCACTATTCCCACATTGGGGCTGGAGGAAGCTCCTTGTCCCATGCTGAGAAGCCCAGCCAAGCTGTGCTGTTCAGCAGTTTCTGTTCCCTTCTTGCAGCCCTTCTCGAGGGTGCAATGTAAAAGCACTGCTCCATTTCAGAGCCAACTAGAGATCAATGGGGGAATTTGGAGCCAAAAGCATTTAGGAAGGGAACCAAGCAGAAGAATGTGTCTTTTCTCCTCCAATCCTCTCTATAAAGGATAATAAATGGTTCTTTGCAGGCTTCTCTGGAGAGCAGAGCCGGGCTGGGCAGGACACCTGTGTGCTCATGGCTAATTCCCAGTCTGAGATGGAAGAATGGGTTAAATCCATCCGACGGGTGCTGGGCTCTACATCAGGAGGTAAAGGAGAGTAGGGACAGCTCTGGGAGAGGCCAGTTCTCACTGCCTCGTGTTCTGCAGTGCTTCTGTGCAAGGGTTTCAAAGCTGGGCTCATAAATCCTTCCAGCTGGGAAATGGAACTGTGATGTGACTGTAACACCTTAGGAACCCACTCCTAAGCCAGACGCTGTGGTGCTGGGTCTGCTGCAAGCATCAGCAGTGTTAAGTAAATAGCAGCCAAGCATGAAAGAAGCTTTCTGGGCTGGTTTCAACCTCTTCTGCAAACTTCCTCATTGAATTCTTGCCCCCAGAAAATGTTGTTCTTGAAAACAGCCCTTTTCAGTGCTCAAGCACTGAAAAATCCTGCCTATAACCTGCCCGTTTCCTGCTTCTAATATTTAACGACGACTCCACATCTGAGCCTTGCTTAAACCTGGGGGGGTGCCAATTTCTTCTAGCTAGATAAAGGGACCTTATGTGATAGAAAATGTACATTTACAGCAGTACAGAGATCCCTGAGGATAGCAGAGATGTCAGATAGTGTAGAGCTCCATTTTATGTCATTACACAGGTTAAAAGACCCCAAAACTTCATGCTTCAGGGTTCTGGCTTCAATATAAGAACGTGTTTTTGAAGCAACCACTGCATGATGGAGGCTTTGGCCAAAGCAGCCCCACAGAACCCACTTGGGAGCTTGTTGCACACCAAAAAGCAGAGAAGTTGCAAAGGGTGAAGCAATAGCAAAAGCATCTCCAAAATGTGGGAAGGGTTTTGCAGTTACATGTGAAAGTCCCCATGATCAGGCAGGTACTGACAAGCCTTGTGGTTCCAGATGAGTGTTTTCTTGCCTTTTCCTCCTCTGGAAGACACACAGGAATTATTTCAGCTTTCAGAGCACAAGGTGAACACATCACAGGCACTGCTGGGGCAAAAACATGGTAGAGAATCATAGAACCCGTTACCATTGATATCCCAGAGTTCGAGTTTGGATTTGTCTGCTCTTACCATGCCCCAGGCTCCGAGGAGGAAGAGCTGGGATGCAGGCTGCTGCCCTCCCACCTTTGAGCTCTTCTTCTGCTGTGAGTTCAGGAGGAAAAAGCCATTGCTGCGAAGGAAAGGTACCTCCTGCTGCTGCTCCCTGCACAAGGGAGTTCTGGAGGGGGAGAGCAGAGGGGATGGGGAAGGAAAGCAACTAAATCAGTCAGACTTCCAGCTCCAAACCTCTGCTTGGCTTCTTTCTCGGTGGTCTGCTCTGCTTTCTATAGCCTTCAGCTTGCTTTTTCTCCCTGTGCCATCAGCCTTTGTGCTGTTCCTATCTCCCTCTATATCAGCACCCTGCTCCAAGGCAGGCAAGTGGCACAGCAGGAAACAAGGCTCACTGCTTGGTTTTTAACCAGTTTGAGAGCTGTTAGTTCTTTGGAGGAGGAACAAGGCTTCATTATGCTATTATTCCTTTGGAAGATGTTCTGCTTTGCCCCAGACTGCAGCCTCCTTATAGCTCCTATGCTACCAGAACAGCAGGTACCACTGTCACGTTATCACCCGATGCTAAAGCGCCTCCAGCAAAGGGCTGGGGCTCCTCTAACCCCTGTCCTTTCCCCAGCGGTGTTCGGGCAGTGCTTGGCAGACACCATGGCCTATGAGCAGAGGTTCGGGCAGCACCAGGTCCCCATCCTGGTGCAGAAGTGTGCTGAGTTCATCCGGGAGCACGGAGTGAGCGAGGAGGGCATCTTCCGCCTCCCCGGCCAAGACAACCTGGTGAAGCAGCTCAGGGACGCCTTTGATGCTGGGGAGAGACCATCATTTGACCGGTAATGCTGGATCCCCCCTTTCCTGCTCATACACCCTCAAACGTGGGGGAAAGCAGCCTGTCAAACCCCCCCAAGATCCCAGCAGTGCCCTGCAGGAAACCTGGACCCTCCAGGAGGGCTTGGTAAGGGAAGAGGATCCATCAAAACCCCTCAAAACAGAGTTAGAGGGTGCTGAGATTCATAGAAGTAAAGGAAAGCATCTAGGAAAAGCCTGGCTCCATAGAGCAGTTACCTGTGCAGGAGCAGCCAAAGGGAAGAGCCTGCACAGCCCATCAGCTAAGGGCAGAGGTTTAGAGAAAGGAGAGCAAGCAAAGGATCACAAATAAGCTCAGAGAACACCCTCATGCACACAGTAGAAGTTATTTCTTTCCCTGCCAGCCCATAACCATGGTATTTTCCTCCTGTTGCTTCTCCCTGTACTACCACATAGAGATATGAGAGATTTTGGCTGCATCCTCCTAACCCCTTTCCTCTGCAGGGCTGAAAGAGCTACCTGTGGGTCTGAGAGAGGCTTTAGGGAGATGTTTGCCACTGCTACCTCTGCCATGCCCTGTACAAAAGGAGAGAAGAGAGATAAACCCCTGTTGCATCTCTTTATAAAGCACCTAAAGTGAGCCTTTTGGTTTAGTTCCTGCCCTGCCTTACCCACCAGAACTGGGGCAAGGAGTGCCCAGGCTGCTGCGTGTGTATGAAGGTGTTTGATACTGGCTGTGGTGATGCCCCATCTCTGCAGAGCTGAGGAGCTGCCCTGTACAGGATCATACAATGGTTTAGTTTGGAAGGGACCTTCAGCAGTCTCTAGTCCAACCCCCATGGATGGCATCACCTGAGCTTTGGGAGCTGCTGGCAAAATCTGGGCTGCTTGTGAGAGAGAAAGGACCCAAAAGGGACAATGGGTTTAAACTGAAACAGGGGAGATTGAGGTGGTTTTTACCCAGCTTTGTTAGGGAAACCCACAGGATTTTGACCTAACTCCTCCCTGCCCTGTGCAAGTGGAGCCAGGGCTGCTCCAGCACTACAACCATCCCAGCTCTTGGGTTTGCAGCTCTTTCTTGCTTTGTGGGTGCTGGAGCCCTGCTGAGAGCTCTCCTGTTGTAAGCTGCCTGCAGGTCACAGGAGGGTGAGGCTTGCTTGTTATGCAGTGAGTATAGAGAGGGAGTTTGGCCCTTTCCCATCACCCTGCCATGTTAACCCCATGCTGCAGGGCTTGCTATGGCATTGCTGTGGGCATCTCAGGGTGGTCTCCTTGCACTTCAACAAACCCATCTTCTCAGCAAGGAGAAAAGCCAACAGTGGGGTTTTCCAGTGACCTGAATGCTGTGAGACACTGGCTCCACATTCAGTGCCATCTTCACAGCTTGTTTGGGTTCACAAAGGCACTCTTGGACGCACAAGCATTGAGTAGGGAGTGTTGTTGAAGTACCAATAGATACCTATTGTGTATTGGTAGGCCCTGCAAAAACACAGCTCTGAAATCCTCCTCTGTGGCTATGTGCATTTGTTAAAGCCAGTAGGATGTAAAAAAACCCCAAACAGTCCTAAAAATAAATGACCTGAGGGATTTCTGCTGGAAGTTTATCACAGTTCAGCCACTTCAAGGTAGGTCAAATGAGAGGCTTCTGATCTTGACAGTGTCCCTCTGACATAATGTAAACTCTATGGTATGCAAAGCTGCAAACATCTGTCTGGGCAGAACATCTTCAGTAATTGCTGTTAATCTCCAAAACCCCAGGCAAGCTCCTCCAGCTCCACACGGAGCGGGGAGCTCCTGCCAAGCACGAGAACTCCAGCAGGATTTCCATGCAAAGCCTCATGAAGCAAACACAGCTTGGGAAGGCTCAGCCCGGGTGTGAACACTGGGGACCCACCAGCACCACGGTGGGGGGAATCTCCACCAAGGGTTTCTATTCCTGCCACCTGGGGCCATTCCCTGGCTTGGGGCACCCTATGGGCTCCATCCCGCTTGCTTTGGCCTATTTGTATCTTGGATTAGCAAATGGTTTGGGTTGGAAGGGAGCTTAAAGCTCATCCAGCTCCAACCCCTGCCATGGGCAGGGACACCTTCCACTAGAGCAGGTTGCTCCAAGCCCCTGTGTCCAACCTGGCCTTGAACACTGCCAGGGATGGGGCAGCCACAGCTTCTCTGGGCACCCTGTGCCAGCGCCTCAGCACCCTCACAGGGAAGAGCTTCTGCCTCGGGTCTCTCTACCTCTCTGTCTCCTGAATCTCCGCACAGAGCTCAAATACATCCGATGCTCCTGGAGCAGGGTAGGATTTGCTCTACAAATGGGGCTCTTTGCATGTTGCAGGGATACAGATGTTCACACCGTGGCCTCTCTGCTCAAGCTCTACCTGCGGGAGCTGCCGGAGCCAGTGGTGCCCTGGCTGCAGTATGAGGATTTCCTGCTGTGCGGGCAGGCGCTGGATGCGGATGAGAGGAAGGTAAAGCTGCTCTTGTGCCTCTGCTGCTGCTCTTCACGTGAGCTGTGGTTCAGTGCCAGGGCCCTGTGAGCTGGAGACACCGGCTGCTTTTAGCTGTGTGTTATAAGCTGGGTAATTCCTGAGCTTCTAAATCGAGGGGGGGAAAGAGGAAAAAGAGAAATGAAAAAGACAAACCCTCCCAAGGGCAGGGGGTCTTCTCAGTTTGCCTACATGGATTTGTCCATTTTAAAGCTTGTATTTCTAGAGCAGATCGAAGAGCTGCTCAGCACCTCTTTTCATGGAGTCCTTGCAGCAAACAGTGGTGTGAAAACCAGGAGAGGAAGGAAACAGCCTCCTGCAGCCCCCAGCAGCCTGAGCTGAGAGTGGAGCTGGTGGAGGGCTCTGGGTGAGAGCAAGCAAGGAAGGGGGGTTTGGGAGAGGAAGAAGTGAGGAACACTGGAGAAGTTACTGTATAAGCCCCCTCCCCAAAATTCCACTCACGGACACTGTTCCTGTACCCAGAAAGGCAGATAGCCTTGGTAGCACGAGCTCTGTGAACTGCAGGCTTCAGCCCTGTATTTCAAGGACTAACATTTCTTATAGGTTGTTTCACTTTGGGGTTAAAAATGTCTTAAATGCTCATATACAAGGAATGCAAGAGGTGAGGCATGATCAGCCCTTTCTGAAGAGCTCATCGCATTTGTGCTGGGCTGGAGGGGCTCCTGCTCTTCCCTTTGCTGGGCAATGGGCTGCCTCCTCTTGCTGAGCACTGTACAGAAACTTCTGCATGTCCATTCTGCTGGAGAATTGGAATTTCCAAGAGGTGAGAGCATCCAGGGAGGGATGGAGTGACCAAGAGCCGTTCCTGGGTCTGTATAGACCCATGAATCTTAATAGAGCTATTTCTTAACTTGCATTTAGGGCCATCAGGAGCTCCTAAAGCAACTGTCCCTCCTTCCCAGAGACAACTACAACCTCCTCAGCTATATCTGCAGGTCAGTCCTCTGCACAAGGCATGAACAGCTCAGATTTGGTGTTGGTGAGTAGAAATATCATGCCAAAGGCTGAGGCCGACTCCTCTGGAGAGGATGGTTCGCTTCAAGGCACCAGATCCTGACTTTTGTAAAGGGAGAACTTCAGCCATGGGGAGAAGCACCCTGGCAATGCCCGAGCAGAAATTCCTCCCCTAAACCTCACTTATGAACCCCTGAGAATCAAAACCAAGTGTAGGTTTTCTAGGCAAAGCCTTTTGCAACAAAGCTGTCGGGTTTCCCCCAGCCCAGGGGAGTTTGCTCTGATTTGAGATTTGAGCTTTGATTTTCAGCTCATCATATGGTGGGTTTTCTATTGATGCCACTAAGACCCACCTCCAGTTTGCTGTTATGAGGCATGTTTCTGTCCTTGGGATCTAGAGGAAAAGCTGGCTGGATGAATGAGGGTTTATAGCAGTGGGTGTGTAAGGCTTTTTGCAGTCTTCCTTCTCTGACTGGAAATATTTGCCTTTGGATTCTGGCAGGTTTCTACACGAAATCCAGTTGAATTCTAGTGTCAACAAGATGAGTGTGGATAACCTGGCAACAGTGATTGGAGTGAACCTCATCAGACCTAAGAGAGAGGATCCTGCCATTATTATGAGAGGTAAAAGGGACTCCTGGGATATGTGGCATAGGAGCCCCTCCTATGCTGAAATACTCAGTTACCTCCACATTTTCTGCAGCAGACCCATGGATAGAAGGCAGACACATGCCTGAGCACAGGAAGTGCAGCAGAGGAGAGTAAAGCCACATGTTAGTTAGGCTATAAATATGTTTATAGTGACCTTTAGGAGTTGCATTGTGTGTTGCCTCCATAGATTCCAAACAATGGAGGAACTTGGTGAAATCACCTTTCTTATCCTTGGAGCTGGAAGGTATAAAATTCTTCCTAGAGAAACAAAGGAAGCACAAAGAAATTACTGTTGATTTAACCAGTAATCCCAGGGGCAAGGCCAGATGCAGCAGAACTAGGTTAAGGCCAAAGGATGCTCTGCTCTGCAGACATCACATGGAAATGGCAGAGATGTTCATATGCCTGTTTGTATAACTGGTAACTGCAGTTTGCTTGTTCAGCCAGAGAAGCCCAATCTGGGGCTTGGTGTAGCTGAGCAAACTTCAGTCTTGGTGGCTCCATAGACTACTCCTGCTGTTCTGGGGTGATATAAAAACCCTTCCCTTTAGCTGGTTTTATGATCCTGCTTCTTGTCTTCACTTCATGTCTATGTGCATCTCCACTTCGGACACCAGAAAGACCAACTAGAAATGCAAATGTAGGTAGAAGAATCACAGAACAGTTTGGGTTGGAAGGGACCTTCAAAGCTCATCCAGTCCAACCCCCCTGCAATGAGCAGGGACACCTTCAGCTAGATCAGAGTGCCCAGAGCCACATCCAGCCTGGCCTGGAATGTCTCCAGGGATGGGGCATCCACCACCTCTCTGGGCAACCTGTGCCAGTGCTTTGCCACCCTCGTTGTAAGGAATTTCTTCCTCACATCCAGCCTGAACCTCCCTCCTTTAGTTTCAAACCATCGCTCTGCAACAGGCCCTGCTAAAGTCTCTGCCCATCTTTCTTATAGGCCCCTTTTAAGTACTGAAAGGCCACAATAAGGTCTCCCTGGAGTCTTCTCCAGGCTGAACAACCCCAGCTCCTCACAGAAGAGATGCTCCATCCCTCTGATCATCCCTCTGATATCAAACTGTCTCTGACCACGCCTGTCACACTGGCTTTGCTGCTGACAGAGCTCTAATCCCTTGCAGGCACACCACAGATCCAGAAGGTGATGACTGTGCTGATCAGTGACCACGCAAACCTCTTTCCTCCATCCAAGGACATGCCACCCTCCCCACCTGCCCAGAACAACGACAAGAAGGCACCCATCCTCCGCAGCTCCGTGGGCTGGGGTGCTGCTGAGGACCCTGCGGTGGCCAGGGCAGACACACTGATCCAAAGGCAAATGGTGAGGCTGAATCCCCAGGGAAATAACAAGCCATACATTAAAGAATGTGGGATTCATTATGATGGGAGCTAACAGGTCAGAGAGCCACTAAAAGCTCTTGCTATTAATAGGGTAAAGAGCTAGAACTGTCACGCCTGGAATATCTGCATCAGGAAAATGATGTAGAGAAACTTTCCACTTTCCTGTGGAAAATCCACTGTACTGGGAAAAACTCCTGCAGTTTTTTAGCAGAAGAGATGAAACCTTTTCAGCTCCTGCTGGTGAAGGGAAAAAATTGAGGATTAAAGGCTTTTGTCAGAAAGAATCTCTGCAAAAAGTGGGAAACATGGTGCGTGGCACAAGTTTTTTATGGAAAACTTGTGGCCATTCCCATTGGCATGTTCAAGGGTAAGAACTGCAGTCACAGCAGTCGCTGCAACCTGTCCCTGCTCACAGAGCAGGATGATGTCCTAATGCCATGGGTCTGTTTTGCAGAGAGAGGACCTGAATTCCAGCACTGCCCCCGGACCAGCTGCAAGCTCAAGTGCACCCAGAGAAGATAAAGGGTCCGAAGATACACTAAGAATGTGGAAAACACAGTCAAGGAAAAGAACTCAGACTTTACCCAACAGGAAACCTTCCCTGGCAGCTGCTTCCATGGGGGAGAAAGGCAGCAATGACAGGAATGACTCATTTGAGTGCTGGAAAGGCTCCCCTGGGAGCAGCGTGTGCCCCGTGGTCCCTGAGGGACACAAGAGAACGTTGTCTCATGATCTTTTTAAGCTGCTCGACCTTCACCGGGCTTCAACCTACGATAACGTTCCCACCTCCCAGGCAGAGAGTGGGGAAGGCAGCGTCTCTGAGAAGGAATTCCTGCCCTGCCCCAGTCCCAGCCATGAGGCAAAGGACAGAGCCAGTGCCAGCAGCAGCCCTGCCGAAGTGCCCAAGCCTGCTGAGGAGAGCAGGGAGTTCCTGCAGAACATGGTCCTGAAGCTCGAAAAAGAGATGGAGCTACAGAAAAAAGACTACGAGGAGCAGATTAAAAGGTAACACAGTGCAGAGTGCTGCTCTGGGGTGAAGGCTGGACCTGATGACCTTAAAGGTCTTTTCCAACCTAATTGGTTCTATGAATCTGGAGAATTTGAGGTCTTCAGCTCATGTTATTACACGTGAGCTCATGTATACGAAAGGTCTTTTCCAACCTAATTGATTCTGTGAATCTGGAGAATTTGAAGTCTTCAGCTCATGTTATTACACATGAGCTCATGTATACATGTTATTCACGAGCTCATAGCATTGCACAGATTTATTTACCAACAATACTATACAGCATAGCACTGACTGATGATAAAATAGAGTATTAGCCTGTCTAAAAGTCAATGCTCACGTGCTGTACTCTCACGACATAGTTGCTAATGTCAACTATGCATTAGCATAGTTGACTAGTTATATTACTAATATAGCACTGACTGATGATAAAATAGAGTATTAGGCTATCTAAAAGTCAATGCTCATGTGCTGTACTCTCACAACATAGTTGACTAGTTATATTACTAATGTAACTAGTATTATAACTAGTTATATTACTAGTCTACAGTTCTTATGACACCATTGTATGGCACTGTGATGCTTCTGCAATAATCACACTGTCATAATTCCTGTTATTATTACAGTATTGTACCAATATGCTATCCAGAATTCAGCGAGGCATTTGTACATTCTTAGTTGTAACCATCAGTGTTATATAGCTTCACATATTGTTAACATGTTATTATATATCAGGTGTATTGATTTATTGCTTTATTGCTTCATGTTATAGAATCACAAGCTGGTTTGGGTTGGAAAGGACCTTAAGATCATCCAGTTCCAACCCCCTGCCATGGGCCATTGTGTAGCCATTGAAGGTCAGGGGATCAGCACAGCACCTCTGGTTTCTTTCATTGCTGAATGACAGCAGGCAGCCTCCTTAAGAACCAGGTGGTGACTTCCCAGCACTCTTCTGAGCTCGTCCTTACGTGCTTCTTTTCTCTTTGCAGTCTTGAGAAGAAAAACTGTGAAGTCTGGACCAAACTGCTGAGGCTGAATCAGGACATTGAGAAGGAGAAGAAGAAGTCTGAGGAACTGGAGCTGAAGTTGATGAACGTGGAGCGCTCGTGGGAGGAGGCAGAGAAGAAAAACAAGATGCTTGAGAAGGAGATAAAAAACTTAGCTAAATCCACAAGCAAAACTGATGCTAAAACCAACTAGGAGAAGACAGCCAGGTATGCACAGCTGCATGAATGCACAGGAATTGCCAAGCAAGTTCAGAGCCAGGGACTTGTATTGGCCCATGTTCTGCTACTGACCATGGGCTGGTTTGGAGGAAGGAGCCCAGAAGTTACAGGTTGGTTTATGCTCTGAAACAGGAAATTTCAAACATATTCTTTAGCTTTTTTGGGTGTGTTTTTTTCAACTCTTTCAGCTGCTCAAGTAACCTGTAGAACAGGCCAATACTTCTTGCTGCTCAATCAGAGTACCTTGCACTCAGGACTTCAGGTTAAGGACACATTATGCCTTTACAGAAACAAACCAGCAAGCATCCCTGCTGCCAACCAGCTGGCTCGTTGCTGGAGATACCTCCAGTGCTTCAGAGTGGGACAAAAAGGCCATAAATCCTGGATCCAGGGAGTTGGAAAAGCCCTGAGGTCGGGGGTGGCTCAGCCTGTCACGGTGTGCCTGGATGGTGGCTGTGAGTGCTGCCAGCACCGCTGCTGGGATGTTCACATCAACACATACAGTTCATTATTGCTCTTATAGAGCAAGAGAAGCCCAATCAGCCTGTGGGGTCTCCTACAGCATCTCCTGCTCTGCTGTGCTGGACTCATCAATATCAAGGTATAAAAATCAGTGTCACAAACTGTTCTTTAGTTAAGCGGCTGCTCAGTTATTTTGAAATCACTGTTCCTTACAGCCATGTGTGTATAAATCCAGCAGAGCTGCTGCTGAGGCTTTGGAGAGCACTTTCACACTCCCAGACACACAGAGAGTCCATCAGCAGCTTTACCTGGTACAGAAAAAGGGGCTTCTGCCTTTTCCCCGATGGATGTATTTCGAAGCACAACAGGTCTGGACTTACTTACTGCCTCTGCTTTGGTTTCCCATCATTTCATCAGCACACAACAGGATTTCCTCAGCCACTGTGGTGGAAACCTGGGTTCGACCCTGACAATGATGCTGGGTCTCTCCCTGCCACTTGCTGCCATCAGCCTAAAGACTAACTGGACCCGAAGGTCTCGTGGTGCCACTGTGGCTCTTGCTTGCTGCTTGTTTTCCCACTGCCTGCCAGCAAGTTGCCCTTCTACACACAGTGTCATGATGCTGCTGAAGCTTTTGGTGGTGGAAAGAAAATAATAGGACTGTGAAAGAAAACCTTTCCCTTCTCATTTAAGTTCCACACAGCCTCAGCCCAGCCTAGAGCCTTCCTGGGAACAGAAATGGGAAAAGCACAGGAGTTCTCAGTTCCCAAGGAAGATGTCTCTGTGCCAAGCAGGGTGAGGTTAATGCAACAACCCTGCATTTCTGCTACTGAGGACTTGGTGGTACAGAAGTTCAGCTCCAACCAGGCTGCAGACCTGCTTGGCAGAGCCTGCAGGGGGAACCGGACTGGGGAGAGAAAGGGACACAGGGGAAGCTTATGTGAAGAAGGGGGAGATTGGGAGCAGGCATGTGTTATTAGAGAATAAAGTCAATATTGGGTATATAGCCAATATATATTATATAGCCAATATCTAATCAGATTACATCTGATTAAAATGTTTCACATCTGGTCATTTGAAATCTCAGTGAGGATCAGAGCACTCCTTTGGTTGGAGCAGAGGGTCTGGACCTGCTGGTGCAGAGCTCCACAGCCTTGCAGAGGGGTGAACAGCTCAAAGAGCCTTAAAGAGCACAATGTGGCCTCCACCAGCCTCAGCCACCTTCAAAGATGAGCGACCCAAACCTCCCTTCCTGTCCCACACACTGTGACACATTTCTTGTCTCCTGAAGCCTCTTTCAAGCCCCACTCACACCATTAGTGCTGCAAGTCAAAGATCCCACCATGTACCTATGGGACCCACATCTTTCTGTCACCCAAATCAAGTGGTTTCCAAAGAGCCTGTGAGATGCATTTTCCCTGCCATCATTTCAGAGCAACTGTTCCCATCCTCAATTCTCTCCTGTGATTTCAGGTGCCCTTGTCAGAGCTGCTCCAGGGCTTGTTTTTTGCCTTGATAAGGAGCTCATTCCTGATGTGGGTATGAGGCTCGGGAGTCACTTAGGGAGAAACTCCTCCACTGGGTCTAGGAGAAGCAGCATGAACATCTGGGCTGGAAATGCCACATGCTCCTTCCTGCACAGATCAAGAGTGTGAAGAGGCAAATAATCCCTTCAGAGCCCTCCGCAGGGTGTAGTGACGTGGAGAGCCTTGGCTGGGGCTCACAAGTCATGGTTAGGACAAGTGCACATGACTCTAGTATAAACTGTGCATTCCTCCCCTTCCGCTGCAGATAGGCACAATGACCCCTGCCAAAGCACGGCTGCTTCTGAAGATCACAGTGACTTTTGGAAGACGTGCTGCCCGTTAAAATCTGGAGTGTTTATAGTGGTCATACCTAAAAGACAGACTCCCCAATAGAGGTTAGGAGGGCTGGGAAGTGAACAGCCTCAGAGAGTGACACTGGCACCATATCAGTTGGTGTTGCTGTTGGGTAAGCCCAGAGCCACACCTGGACACTGGCAATGCCCAAATCCTACTGGATTTAATGCTCTGTTGGAGACATCAGAACATGAGATGCCCAAAAACTGATGCATGACCTACATCCCCCTGTGAAGCTTTGTGGGGAAGGAGTAGCAGAGGAAGTCTCCCCTGTTCCTGAAGCAGGGTTTGCTGTTCCTCAGTGCTGCAGAGGGCATTATAAAGTCAAGGAGAGTTGTTTGGTGGCTGCTCTTCAGCTCAGCTGGCTTTAAGCATTGACTGTGGAGATCCTAGAGAGCTTGAAACTACTACTACCTTCCAGCAGATGGTCTATCAGAGAGAATGAAGAATAAAGCCTGTAGAAAAAGCCTTTTCAACCCTGAACTGGGCACCATAGGCTTGGAAACTGCACAAAAGGCAGTTTTAACCCTATTTACACCTCACGCTGCACAGCCTTAGGACACAAGAGCATCCTTCAAGATGATGGGAGTGCAGGATAACCCACAACACATACTGGGGATTTTCCAACCTCTTTAAACATGACATGGCTCTCCATATGACAGCAATAATCCCTCAGATCTGAGTGCTTCTAAACCTGCTAACCCATGCATTATGGGCTGAAAATATGACATATTTGAGGATATCTTTTCAGTCCTCTTTCACTTCTTTGTGTTACATCAAACCCTGTGTATAGCTCTTTGTATCCAGTGCATTCAGGTAGAATCACTTCATTGCATCGAGGCGTTGGGTAGGCGTGAGAGGCAAGGAAGGAAAACCATCCTTCCCACATTATTCCCTTTGGATCCCAAGCCAGTCACGCTTCTGCTGACTGATCCCCTCCTATTTTATCAAAGTTGCATTTTTGGCATGATAGCAATGTTCCTTTTTTAGCTTGGCTACTGCCTAAAATAGCACGTTGTTGGGGGAGGCGAGGTGGACGTGCAGGAGAAGTGTCCAGCGAGTGTTTAGGGTGGCTTATACACAGGAAAGCAGTGAGAACATGTTGTTCTCCCCAGGATCCACAGAGCAATGCAACCCATCCTCCTGTTACAACCCCAAACCAAGCTGGTTTTAATCACACTGCCACATAGAGACTTGGTGCGTGAGTTACTGTTCACCAAGGTGGGGAGAGACAAAAGAGGTCCCCACACTCGGAGCCAGACTCTCCTTGGAAGCAGTCCCAGTGTCCCACTTGCTTTGTGTTTTCCTGCCACCTGGCTGCAGCACAGGGATGCTGCGGAGCCAACTGACCTGCAGGAAAACCAGCCTGGCAAAGAGGAGGATGCTGACAAAGCAAGGACCATCATGGGCCAGGAGGGAAGCAGCCAGGGGAGCCGGGGCAGGACCTGGCCGAATAAGCACTCTTTTTTTTGGGAAATGCTCATCTATTCCACAATAAAAACCCTGTGGATTTAGGAATTGGGAGTTACTGAAGCAGGTAAGTGCAGTGATGCTTGTGAGGTGAATACTGCGGAGAGGCTCCAGCTGGGACAGCTTCTTCCCTGGAGCATCCGCATTGGCAAAAGCTCACCACATGCATGTTAGGTCACACTCCTGTTCTCCTCTGCAAGGGTTTTCTGAGTAGGTAATTCCCATAAACACAAGTGATGAGCAGTTAATTGGGAACATGGTTTCTTAATAAATAAGGCTTCTAATTTCAGCTAAATGCAGCAGCCAGGTGAGTGGTGTGAGGGGGGGGCAATGTTCATTGGTTTGGGTTGAAGGGACCTTGAAGCTCATCCAGGTTCAACCCCTGCCCCGGGCAGGGACACCTTCCACTAGAGCAGGTTGCTCCAAGACCCTGTACATCCCTTGTCCAAAGCCCCTCTCCAGGTTTCCTGGAGCCCCTGTAGGCACTGGAGCTGCTCTAAGGTGTCCCCTTGAGGAGCCTTCTCTTCTCCAGCTGCCCCAGCCCAGCTCTCTCAGCCTGGCTCCAGAGCAGAGCTGCTCCAGCCCTCGCAGCAGCTCCATGTCCTCCTCTGGCCTCACTCCAGCAGCTCCACATCCCTCTTGTGCTGTTGCCCCAGGGTGTGCTCAACCTTTAGCAACCATCAGAGAATGTACCAGCTCCAAACCCCAACAAGCAAAGAGCTCAGCGAGAAGGAAACATCCTGTTTACACCGTGTAGGGAAGCTTCACCAAAAGCCATTCACTTTTCCTGCCTAACCCTATCCAAAAGGCCTCCCTGTGCTCCCTGTGTGGTGCCAGGAGTGCCGTCAGCAGCCCCTGGTGTGCCTGGTGAAAATTTGCTTTATCACATGTAAAAACACGATGTGATATTTCAACCCTCTTAACACAATGTACCGAGAACAGGAACTGGGAGCAGGGAATGTGCCTTTAATCTCATCAGCTGGCCAAGATGCTCTTTGCTCCATCCAGGCAGCTATTTCCAAATGAGTGTGTTTTAAAAGCAGCCAGAGAGGCAGGGGCCAGGCTTTGAGCTCTTATTAAAGAAATGGGGATAAGCATCAGCTTGGCAGCTGCTTCCTGAGCATGTGAGAGGTAAATCTTTCCTTTCCCCAGAGGTGTTGTT